TAGTCTTGTGTTTCATTCGCGAAAGGCTTCGCCATTTATCACTAACGTCTAAATCGTCTTCCCAGCCTAGCTTACGAGGTTTCAAGACAGGCTCTTTGTCTGTAGTTTCCGTGGCCTGTCTTCGTGCTTTTCCCGAATGATATAGCGAGAAAGCGAAGAATGCTGTGAGCTTGATAATTTCTGCCCGCTTTCTCATTTATTGTTTTCAGTTGTTTAATTTATATTGGCTTGAAGTGCAGCCTGTTGTTTCAAATATTGAATGCTCAACGCAGCCAGTTGCGTTGTCGACGAAAATCAAACGCTTAAGGTTACTGCTCCCTTACGTGCTCCAGCAGCTGTTAAAGGGGAAACTGGGGTCTGTAACTGTGCTAATAATTACTTTGGAATTCAGCTTGCTTCCTCGGTCGCCCAATCGACTAGTGATAATTCATGTGAACAGTTTTTAAGTGTAAGACAGCAAGTAAGTATAGATAGATAATCCAGAGTACAATAATTTCAGGCAACCAAAGCTACTACCATGTCATCACACATTTTGTCTTCCGTGCCTGGATAACTGCGTAGACATGGTTCATCGGGTACTGAAATGTCCGGAATGTAGGGCTGAGCATCCGGTGCCGTATGAAGGTGTGAAAAACTTCCAGTCAAATTATACCTTGATGGGTTTCCTCGATATACATCTTCAAGCCACAGACGACAATGCTGCGCAGCTGGAAGCATACATTCAAAGGTCAGCTTTTCTTTTGCATCTCCGAGTATGTCAAAACCCATTATTGACAGAAACCATTTTTTTATGTTACTCATGTGAAACGAACGTCAGGACTGCTAGTAAGCTAAATAACAGGCGACACAGTACTGATCAGAGCAACTGGGAAATTGTCAGCTGCATAGACCAACTATGAATTCCAGCTGATTACTGTGTCGAAGTATATGCTTGAGCGAACCAGATCGCAATCAGGTTGTTCAAACACTATCCCCAAGCCAAAAATCTCAAATCCTTGTGCCTCGGCCCTTGACCAGAGACTGATATCCCTTCAGGAATGTGCTGAGCTTGAGTTTTTCTCTCTAATCTGTAACAAATCTTAAACTTTCACAGCAAGATGTCGAAATTCTTGGTCTAAAATTAACTTCCATACTTTATGTTGACTTACGGCCTCATGTCTAAACTGAGACCTGAAGTGGTTCAGCAGTCCGAAATTTTTATAGCTTGCAACGGCCAAATGTTTGGTCACCATGCAGCACCTATTAAT